ATGCACGTAGAAATCAGCAGGAATTTAAATTATAGCAAATAAAAACTGAAAAAAATTTGATACAAGGAAAGGTGATGAAGAATAGTTGAAAATTTTTTTTGATTTATGGGTTCATTAGTTCTGCTTTTAAAAGTGGCATATGTAGTTACTGATTTAATTTAATTTTTAGACTCATTTAGTCGGTGTGAACACCACTTTTGGTCAAAACAGATTAAAGACATTTAATACGTGTAATATGTCGTTATAGTTTTACTTGAAGACCCATTCCAATTAATGTAATTGCTATTCATAATACAACATATAATAATAAAAATAAAGTATTTTTAATTTAATAAAATTGAAATCTCATGTGTGGCATTTTCATTCAGGCAAACACAAAGAGCATAATAAAAAAAGTTTTAAAGAATTTAAATTCAGTACAATTACAGGAAGACGTGTCAGTTACCCTTTTAGGAGCTTTTTACAGCACATTAGATAATAAAATAATTATATTTATTTCTTTTTTTTTCCAAAACTGAATTTTAATCAATGACATAAGGAGCTTGTTTACATAGAAATGTACAAAGGAGCAAATAGTTTGGGTGTTCTGTAGAATATTCACGAGCTACATTAAAACATATAATCAATCAAGTTATATATTATATTTATAAAAGAAATTATTTAATATTCAATAAAGGACAACTACAATATATAAAAAATTCAATTTCTTCAATGCCAAATGCTACTATTCAATATGCAAAGCACATTGTTGCAGCTGACAAATGAACTTAGTATAGCATAGAATATATGGTATAATACAAAAGCAAAAAACCAATTTAAAAATAAGAAAAGAAATTTTATTGTATTAGAAAAATATATGGAGAGGGTAAGAAACCTGGTACAAAAGCATTAGGACAACTGCTGCCATGGACATAAAGTAAAAGCAAAAGTATTTGAACGACCGATTTGCATAAAAGAAATATTCAAGAAATAGTTAAGTTTTATGTACTTTTGGTGAGATTACCTGTTATAGGCAAAGTTGATTGTGTTAGTCATGAACTCTCCACTCCAATATTTTAGTAGGGCTTATGCTTTTGCATACCAAAGTGTATGAAACAGATACATATTTATTTATTTTTTTTTGTGTTTTGTTTAAGTCAGGCAGGCTGCATATATAATACGACGATACACAGGTAGCCTGCCGCAATAGGTAATGCTTTGCAATAGAAAAAGTACGAGTTGCAGACAGTGGTGGTATCAAGTTACCCATTGTAAGTATGAATCGAGTTAGAAGCACAATTTAGAATTCATTATACGGTGTACCAGTTTCAACTAATTTTATTTTATTTCATTTTTTTTTATATTTATTTTTGGATAGCAAATTGTAAAGACAAGAGTAAAGATGTAGCTTATTTCTGTAAGGCATTTTGTATTGTCGTAGTAGTCCTCTTTAATTGGAGAACTGGTTACCAAAAATGATGAAAAGGGTGTTCCAATTGCTAATATCTTAATTAAGTAGAAGTTATAAATTTTTTGGTGATTTTCGTATTTTGTAGTAGAATAGTAGTATATTTATAGTAGTGTTATATGAAGTAGTAGCAGTTTTATAAATACGGAAATTTATTTTTTCTATAAAATTTTATGTAATTTCTATGCATGTTATGTGCCTTGTAATATTTCTTTTTTATAACAAAGTAAAAGTGTCAAAAGTTGAAGGCCGTCCAACTAAAGCGGCACATGGGTAAGGTTTTTGGCAAAGCGCCCAAATGTATGCATGCAGAAAAAGGGCGCACAAAAAAAAAATAGTGCCAAAGTTAAACAAAAAGTATTGATTAGACCACATTTGCAATACTAACTTATTTATTTTCATCTGCAGGCTAAAATTGCATACAAATATAGTGAAATTAAAATTTACTAAAATTATTATTAAAAAATTTTAAATACTTAGAAAATATGTTAACAATCGGTGTGGTTGCGTTATATCCTTTATGGTTCTCCAGAAATTACCTATGTCATTTTGCTCCAATATGTAAATTTAGTTCTTTTTTACACAATTATTGTTTTTACTAAGAAATTTAAAATTTTAGTTATATTATAATCAAAAAAATACTTAATTCGATTCTTTGGATGAAGAACAATTACTAGTAAGTGTTTTATTCACCCAAGCTTCATAGTTAAAATGCTTTTTCAATGTTAAATATTAATTTTTCTTTACCAAATTGTTAAATATTATCTAATAAACTTATAAAATATTTCAAAATACTTTTTCCATAATTTTCGTAATGTGATTTTATTTAGTAACTGTTTTAAGTCTGCTCCTATTGTTAATTCAAATATAAATCACTGGCAGTTTTTGTTTTAATGATATTTTGAGTACTTAAACTGTTTAAAAGTCATGTTTTTTTTATCATAAAAACTTTTATACAAACTCTAAAACTCTGACTAAATAACTTAATTTTCCATTTTTAAGAAGAAAAGAAAACAAAAGCTATCTCTACTGGAGTTGTCAGTTGCATCTTTTGCTGGCTGCATTTGAGTGCGCCTAGTGACCTAAATACCACAAACTGGCAACTTTGTTACTAAAGTTGCAGTTAAAATGTATTGTCATTAAAATGTTCAACAAATTTTTTTAACAAATGAGATATATTCATATATATATATAAACATATATATATATGTACATATATATAAATCAACATTTTTACGCAGCTTTTAATGCCGAAACTCTACTTAATGCCATGGAAGACACTTCACTCATGTAAAAAGTGTTGCATTTGTCGTATCGTGAAAAAGACACATAAAATATAAAATAATATATGAATAAATAATAAAATATAACACTTTTATTAGACAAAAGAATATATTAATAAATATATGTATATATTTATATATATGCTGCAGTGTATATATGTGAAAAAAATGCTGTTAAGCACTTAAGTTGCTCTCAATAGTTTCCTAGGCTGCTTAAACATAATTTTATGCGCTTTTTTTACGACACTCATAAGCACTTTATGTGGGTCTTTAAACTGATAAGTCCAAAATTGAAAATCTATAAAACTTTTACTATTCTTCTCCAATTATTTTTTGTAGACTTTAATCTTTTATATTCAAAGGCATGAAAATAAATATTTTAAATTTACATTTTGTAGAGTGTTTTGCCGTCTCTGTTAGCCGTCTAATGCCAAATATCACTGAAAGTAGCATGAAACTGAATAAAAAATAATCCCCAAAAAGGTCATTGATTTCAGCTTAAAAACCACCACAATTTCGTTATGAGGTAGGTTAGGTTACCTTTCCTTTCCTTTCCATTATGTACGACAAAAGGTATCAGTGTAAAGCACAAAGCTGGTGTCAAAGACGTCTGTCTTAGCAGGAAACTTTTGCCAATGTTAAAAAGTGAAAATCTTAACGAACTAACAACATAAAAAATAAACCCAGAATAGAACGCACTTAAGCACACACTCAACAGAGGGTCTTAAGAAAATAATAAAAATAAAATATATACACAAAAAAAGTCCAAAAATCAATAATGAAAAGTGAACTGAACAAATTTGTAAAAATATCTTAAAATCCAAGTGCAAAAAATCATAAATTAAATCACATTTCAACGAAAATCGCAAAGCGCTCAGATATAAATTTTCTTTGTGGTGTGCCAAAAATATACTAAAATATATTTTTCCTTCGTACTACTTGGCGCAGTAGGCAGTCCTGACGGTACACAAATACTAGAAGTAAAAAAAATTATTAAAATTAATTTTTGTAAAAATTATGAAGTGAAAAAATTTTGCCGCAAGTCAATTTGTTAGTTACTAACATGCGATTTCGGTTTGTTATTGCTTTTCAATTTTTGGTTCCAGACAAAGTTTAGCCAAAAAACTGAAAGAAGTTTAAGTATTTGAAAGCGTTCCACATTTGCTTTGGTAGTGTGATTTTTCGGTGTTCGGAAATATTTAGACAACATAAATCATAAAATTAATAATTTTGGTTAGTTCACGCGGAGAGCTTTGAATAGCTTAGCTCGTGTTTTACAAATTGACGGTAAGGAACCATCGTATGAGGAAATATCAGTAAGGGTAAACACAATATGTTCCAATCATTCCTAACATATGAATATATGAGAATTTATGAGAAATCGACAAGAAAAATTAAAAGAAGTATAAGGGGTTTTTAATGACTTAGCTCGTGTTTCACAAAGTGACTGTGAGATTACGTACATACTGTTCCAATAACTGTACGTACATATTGTTCCTAACATAGGTGGAAATTTCCGATGTGGAAACTTCATTCCCGTAAACAAAGAAGACAGTTGAGAGCACGAGGATTAATAGATATAGCAAGCTAGGTTTGTCTAAACCAAAAAGCATGGGAATGAACGTTTACATTTATAATCGAAAAATTCATAATTGGATTCGATTAAACTACAATTTGAAGAAGATTTAATTGAATTTAGTAAACATTATGCAAAATTAAAGCACTTCAAAAAATATGAAAAAATAAATTATTTATTATAATATGTTAATAATATTTACAATAAAAATGTGAAATTGAACAGAAAATAAAAGGGTTATGTGGAGTGTCACATATCGACTATGGATAGAATTTACACTAACAATTGGCTTTAATCAAACAAATAACATTCAGTCTATATCTTTAGTAAAGAAATTTGTAATACTTTGGATTCAGCGTTTTCTTTCTGATTTAGATCAATGTTGGACAATCACAAAAAATGTGACTACAAATCTTCACCGCCTTTTAGGTTGTATTAGAAAAACCCATCTTATTGAGATTTTAAATCAGATTAAATTATTAAGTAGATTACCTGCAATTTCAGCTGAGTCCTACTTCCCTTGTTATTTATAAATCGTTTTTTGATTATATATATATTTCTGATTTATTTATCTTTTAAATATACTTGTTTATATTACTATAATTATATAATTATTATATTACATAATTATAATTATTATAACTTACATTAAATTATTAATTTAAATTAATTTTATAAATTTTATTAATTACAGGCTACCACAGTTCATGCTCAATGCCAGGAATTTTTTTTTACTGATGGTAAGTAAAATAATTTTGAAATTAGTTAAAAATTATTTTAAATATACTTTTATAAATAATATTTAATAATAATGTGAATGAAGACATCTGTATATGAACTAATAACGTATTTAAAATACAAGATAATTACAAGAAATGGGAATAAATTAATTTTAATACTCCTATAAATGCCATTAAATAAAAGTTTAATATAATTATATTAAATTAACGATATTAAATGAAATTAAATTCTAGTATATTATATGTACTATAATATGTAGTATTTTTTTAAAAAAAATATGTAATAATATGTGGAAATACTTTTTCTTGATATGCACTTAGACGATTAATTCCAGAAGTCAGGACGATAATATTTTAATAATGAATTTGTTTAAAAACATATTTGGTGACAGCTATTTCGCAGTATTTTAGTATTTTTCATATGCAAGAATACGTTATTTATACTTCACAGAAATAATTATTCTTCATATATATAATGATTTAACAAAATTTCATTTTACTGTAATAAATTTGGAACGGACAATCTACTATTTCATACTATCCTCTTAACAAAATTTTATAAAAACAAATAACCTCCTTTACTGCACAAAACAACATCGTTGATGTTGCAAATTTGTTTTGCTATTATTTGTGCATTTCCGTAGTTGCAATAATGCAATTATTAAACATTGGCATTATTTAGTATATTTGTTTTGTTAAATTAAATGAAAGCAATGAAAGTGTAGTTCCTTTTCGAAAAGTATATGTAATCTTAATTAACTTAATTAGAACTTGATCTTACTTTCTACAATTATCGCTAATGTTATCTATTGAAAAGACTTATCATCTTCAAGATTTCAGCTACTATTTTTCCCTATTTACGAACTTAGATTTTAATTGGCAAAGTATTTAATCATGAAGGTTAGTTTCATAAATTTTTACCTTCAGATATATTTCCTATTACTAGTAAAAGCTAAACAAAAAAAAACAATGATAATGTCACTATCAGATCTTTTGTAAGTTTAAATGCTACAAAATTGATGATCTTGCCAAACTGATAGGCCCTTTAATACAAAACTGATATTCGTATGTGCTTCGTATGTCTTTTCGATTAATAGACCTCAACTTCAATCTAATGATTACAATATAAAACTCAAGTAGCTGGCATAGACGATTGTCGGAAAAATGTGTAAACTAAAATTACAAAAAAAAAAAATATCGAAAAAAAATTGTTTTGTCGACTGGAGCTTGTCAACACTTAACAGTCGTACAGTCGTAATGGGTAAACGACTCACGTCATTGAACTGTGAAAAGGTCGCTCGGATAATACAGAAGAAAAAAAACAGATTCGAAAATCGAAACTACGCCTGACATTTGTAAAATGCGTACGATACGAGGGCACCCTGGGTGTGCATGCATGGGTGCGTGAATGCGTGTGTGCTTGCCTGATTATCGTATGGGAGCTCGCGCTTAACAATATCAATAAATTTTTTTTTTCTCAAAAAATTTATTTAATTTTTATTTTATTTTTTATTTTACACATAAACCTTATACGTATTTTTTTGTATTTTTTTTTTGTTGGTCTGGCAGTAACACTTTTGGACATGATAGATTAAAATTCGATTTCATATAAACACATTGTTGATGTATTTAATTTCATTTTGACAAGTAGTTGTCATCTCTAGTACATAATATATTTATTTTTTAATGATTTATAATGTCGACGGACGGTTTTGTTTGTAGTCTTCAAGTGTTGAAGTATGTGGAGAACTTGAGACTTGTCCCAAAAAATGATTGGAGAAAGTAGTACTTTTAAATAGCACGTGTAGATATATTATTGCACTTTTGTTCGGCAAGCTTTGTATATTGTTTGCTTTCTAAAGTTGATAGATAGAACTGCGAGTACTTAGTATACTTCTTTCTGTATGTTATACTTAAATCCATCTACAAATATGTTATGTCTTTTTGATGTTACCAGTGTCATGATATCATTTGTTTAACTTTAGTATAATTAATGAAACTAAAAATAGCAAATTAAATAAAAATCAGTCATTTGCGCACTTCCCTCATAAAATCCCAATGTTACTATTATTATTATTTGTATTAAAATTCCACATTAATTCTCTATAACAATTTATCACATTTTGTCTATTAAATGTTTAACAACTTTTGCCTCTAAAAGGAAATCACGCTTAATACGCATGGCACATATGTAAACTTAAATATTTTGATTGATTACTTGGACGCAAAAAAAAAAAAATAAAATACAAAAAAAAATTGAAAAGAAAAAAATTGTATAGAAAAATATTTGCTCTTCCAAAAAGTTTACTTTTCCAAAAGTGCAAAGTACAATTAAGATGAATATTTTAACACTTGAGCTCTTTCTAAAGCTACCTGGCTTAAGTAACTAACATGAGTCTAATTGATAGCAGAAATTCTGTTTAAGTCTTAAATTTCGATTGGGTGTAAAAAAAGTACAATATTTACTTTTGAGTAATTACACGCTGCTCTTCCACTTACTATTGAGTAATTGAAGCAGAGTGGTCAGTATATATAATTGTGGTTCAGAGTGAAGAGTGCTTGTAACATGCTTTGATTGATGTTCATCAAATCCTTATATAGTATGTGAGAAGTGCGAAAGTTAGCAATTTTTTTTATATATTGAAAATTGTCTTGTTTAATTGTGGATGATAAGTAGGGAAATTCCCATAAACCAGCGCGTGGCTTAAGTTTTTGGGTGGGCAGCAAAGAGTTTGACTAATTGGAGATTGATTGATCAGCCTGATGCATTAAAGTTACTTAAAATCGTATTTATAAGGCTCACAGTATGTGCTTCAGATTAAGTAATATTCATTATTGTAGGATAAATATTTCAAAAATTTCTAAATAAATCATTGAGAATTTCGATGAAGTCATTAACTTTTGAGAAGGTCTATTAAAAATTTTTGGTGATTTTTTTCGAGTCAATATTTTTTATTTTAGAATATGAAGAACATTCAGAACTAGCAGTAGGTAAGTAATTATGAAATTGTATGATATACCTAAAGAGCTTAATTTAGGTCAATTAAATATTTTGCTCGTGAATTGGAGACTCACGTGTTTGCACTTTCTATACAGTACAAGTTTTGGGGTGAGAAATGAGTTGGATTAAGCTATTTATGCTACTAACTATTTATGTTTGCCTGGAAGATAGTACAGCAAGTGCTTATAAAAGACTCATTAATTCATATTTATAAATTTTTTAAACTTATATTGTTGTATAAAAGGAAATATACTAATAATTCGGAAGATGTTGAAGAAGAGAAAAAAATAATGGTATAAAGTATATTGTAGTTAGTGATAAGAAGTTAGGGGAGGTCATAAATGTTTGAGGATTTGTACTACTACAGTCTTATATAATTTCGTTATTTATGTATATGTTCAGTACTATTTCATTATCCTTACTTTAGGATATACCAATTTGTAGTAATATATAATGACTTTTCGAAACTGAACTATAGAAAAGTAAAGGAATGAAATACAGTGGGGTGTTAATCCAAAAAGTTGGAATAGATTCACCTGCTGGAATTATATACTTTATTCAACGGTTACAGTATACAAATTTCGCCACAAATTAGATCACAAAAAATTATAAATATACTAACGATTTTAACGATTACTTACTTTCTTACTGCGGTCCTTCTCTCCTAGTAGAGAATAGGGCCTCAAAATTACAACGATTAACTAATCATAAAAAAAAAAGAAAAAAAAATTTTATTAAAAATCACACGGTTATTACCGCACTTCAGCATATTTTTTACTTTAATTTCCTCTACTGTCGAATGTATGAATGAATATTTTATATGATAATTTAATCTGACACTCTACTCTTATCAGTATTCATCTTTTTTTTATTCATTTTAATTAAATATTTAATTAAAAAAATTTTTTTTTTTAAATTTTATTAATATTTATATTGGAGTATTTAACTGAATGAATACCGCTTTGTTTACGTGAAGACTTGTAGTGTGAATCCCATTGTAACAGGACTCCAAGTTCAATTGTTTGTTAAAAAAAAAAATAAACCAAAAATGCAATGAAAACAGTGCAGTATCTGAGAGTATGAGTACGTGTGCATTTTATTTCCGCACCATTATTTTTCAGCTTAAAAAAAAAATTGAATTTTATTATGTCATATATTTTACAGACAAACGTATTTTTTTTAGTATATATCACATGTACCAGACAGTATAGTGTTGTACTATGATAACCGTTCAACCAGACTTGGTCAATAAATTCGCTTTTGTTATTATATATAACAACTGTAGACCAATGATAATTAGTAATTTTAAAAATTTAATGACAAAATTGAGTTTGGAACGGATAAACGTATAAGGATTACGATATATATAGTATTTGATTACACAAGCTCATTCAAAAAAGAATTATAGGATACTTAAATCGATTTTAGTCCATGTACGGTAGTTAAACGTATTTTTTCAACAACCAAGTCAAGAGCTACATGGCTCCATTACTCCAAATGTAAAACCTCTGAATTGGTAAACAGAAACAAATTGAAAGGATCTAGGTTAATATATGTTGTAACGGCATGGACTATACGATTGAAGTGCATATTAAATCCTCTGGCGTAAGATGCGCATGCACTCAATGATTTTCTTGATCCATACATACGCACATATATATATATATGCTCTTTTGGCAAAACTATTCTTGTGGCTGCTTCTTTGAAGTAAAAATCGAATCCCCTAGCGCAACTCAAGCACGCAGTCAATGCTCATATTGGCTCATATATATGTATGTATATACACAGTCTGTAGTAAACTCCGCTTGTTGATTGAATGAATTCCAAATGATGTAAGGATGACTCTCTACTCGCTGTACTTTTATAAACTATTTTTTAATAAAACATACTAACAAAATATATTTAAATATAGAAGTAGAATAAATCTAAGGTCATTCCAGTGATTTGCATTATCTGTTAAGTTAAATAAAAACAATTACTTTTTCATTTTTACCTAGCAGAATTAGCATTTAATCCTATTTGCAGACATTGCTAAAAAAGTTGACTTTTAAATCCTTTTTATTTTTGTTATTTCTGCAAACTTACTTACTTACCAGCATACGGCATAATACACGCAGTCTGTAGCGACAGTAGTTGTTATAACAGTAGTGGCCATAATTTTGTGATGGCACATTGCACTTTAGCATAGTACCATAAACGAGAGACATTGAAGTTGAACGTTGTATCTATAAAGGCAACCAACTTCAATGGAGTTGAGCAGGCAATAAAAAAGTACTGAAAAGAAATAAAATCGAGCAGCCAGGGAGTTGGATAAAGGCTGCGTTAATGGAAATTTATTGAAATGCATTCATGTTGAAAATAGATTTTGCATTGCAAATTATAGTTACTGGTAGTATAATACCCCATTGAGAGTGTCAACTTTAGCTGTAATACGGCTAAATATACTCGTATATATGTATTTATAAGCTCTCCTTTCAAAGGATCTATTAAAGTCATATGATATCTTTTCTTGCCACTTAATGCAGCAGCTTATTTTCAATTTGTCATATTATGTTGCTGATATGAGTTTATAAATGTATTTATTATAAGCTGTTGAAGTGCTAGTAAGAAATTGCTATATCTTATGTGTGTACTTTACATATCTTTAACTTTTATTATTTAGAATAATATTTTAATAATAAAGTATTATAAATATTTTTTTTAATTTTTTATGTGGAATAATAAAATTCTGTTCAATCAAATAATTTGAATTTATTTCTTTATTGTGCGATTAAACACATTGAATTTAAATAAATTAAACATATTTAATTTATTTATTATAAGTATTAGAACCTTAAATTAGACATATATTTTATTGGTATTCAATTTTTGTTATTTTGTGTAGTTTCCAAACATTCTAGGAAATAAAATTTTCATAAAAAAAATTTCTTATTTGTGTGGAGTTGTTTATTTAATCTTGTAGAGTTTGAAGTTTATATTACGCCTTTTCTTTTGTAAGCATTTCGCAAAAGAACAACATAAAGTAAGCACTACGTTTGATGGCAACTCTGAAAGAACCGGAAATTTGAATAAGCTTATATATGCAAAACACGTAATAAAATTTAAAGTCATAGTTTCGTAAATGAGTACAAATATTATATTTTTTACATGATTGTGAATAAAATTTGTATTTACATGAGTATTTTTGGTCTTGGCAACCATGTGATTTAAGCTACTTATTAGTTAAGCGGTTTCAAAAAGGTTGGACTAAATAAGCCAGCAGTGATGGTGTTTCATATGTTATTTTTAAAATAAGCGGTTGTTCTTTTATGAAATGCTTACAAAAGAAAGGACCTATTATATACTAGTAGGTAAATGACTTATGTGTTTAACTACATTATATACTTTTACAACTACTCACAGATTTTATTTAATTTTAAACATTATTTTTAATTATATTCTTTAAAAATGAATAATTGTAAAACTTATATAATTTCAATTAACTAAAGATTTTCTATTTAAATTTTTAGGTTATGTTTGCCTTTGTAACGACAGCATGTACAAAAAAGACAAACGATTATGTTATAATGCTAAAGACCCACAATGGGCGAGCACTACACATAAATGCCGGTGGCAAGGTGATTGCAGAAGATATATCGTTAGCACGTAAGTAAAAATATTTATTAAAATATTTTTCTTTAAATATAATTTAAATATAAATTTCACAATAACTTCAAACGCAATTGTGATTAAGTCTTACAGCAGACGGAATTCAAAAAGCAAGAATAAGCTTAAAATCTTGTAGTCTTGTATTTTGAAACTTTACTTGTACATTTTTTTTTTGTTTTAGTTTTTTTTTTCAAAAATAGAATTAATATTTTTCTCGTGATATTTAATTTTTTTTTGCTGAATAGGCTTAAAAATATTTACTATGCCAGCGAAAATGTTTACACCTACAGACCTACAGACCAAAGCCATGCAGTAACGTCAATAATGAAAAATTGTTGGTCTTAATGCAATCATAAGCCGTGTTTTCTTATTATAAAAATTTGTTATTTCATTTTGTTTACTCTATATTATAGATATTTTTTAATTTTTAATAAATTAGACTTAAAGTCGCCTGTATTATTGCCATGTCAATTCATAAATAATGCGCTCATTTGTGGCAATATGGCAGCGCTGTACGCAATAAATTTTCATTGAAAATTGAAATTCCTTTTTTTATTATTTTTTTTTTATATTTGTATTATTTTATTTCAATATTTATTTTTTGATTTGTTAACCACAAGTTAAAGTTAAGAAATTAAAAAACTTTTAAATTTAATTGGCATTTTTGCATATTTTCGTGAACCTATTGAATTGTCTCAGATCGGTTGTGCCGCTATACACAAATAAAATTTAATAATAAAAAATTTTGTGTAGACTTAATTAAATTATGGTAATTTAATATTTTTTTATTGATGATGATTTAAGACTTCTTTACTCTGAATTTGTATGAAAATATTTTACAATAAAATTCACATTCAATAATAAATATGATTCATTGCGTTTTATTGTTATTTTTCTACAAAACTTTGGGAGATATTCAATATGTCTACACAAATGATGTGCCGACACTGGCGCCATCTATCAATTATGGTCTGTGAATTATTTGTATTTGTTGGACGTGTACATAAATTTAATTTTGCGGTTTTTGTTATTATTTTAATTTGACTTTAAATGGTATATACAAATTGTTTGTAATTATATGATTAATATTATTCATATACTTGAAGAAAATTATAGTTTTTTTAGATAAGCAATATTGTTAGCTGAGGATGTAGGCGTCCTCAATTAATTTATAGTTTGATATTGTCATAATATTGACTGCTTATGTCATGAACTAGGCTATAATTTGAATATCCGTCAGATGCAGTTTCAGATTTCAAAAAAATATTATTAGTCAGTAATTTAAAATAAAATTTAATTGGTTGAATGCAATGAGATCAGAGGATGTATAAATATAACTGTATACATAACTATACAATTGCATGTAATAGAAAAAAATATAACAGAGTTTTGGGTTCCCAGTGTAGTGGAGCGCTAGGATTAGAATACGTAATTAAAATTCATAAATTTGTTTACAAGGGGACTTTATAACACTGATACTGATACTGACACTGACACTAAATATTAATGATTTTTAATGAGTTCTAATGAGAACTTAACGAAATCTTCAGCAATTTATTACAGAAAAGGATTAAATACTTTTTTTATAAAAACGTAATAAAACAAGATTTCGGACAGTTTTTCTTTAATACGACAAATTTCTCTCGAGAGAGATTTAGTAGCACAAATTTATTTACATAGACTCATTGCTTACAATAAAACGAAGTTATGGGTTTCCAGTGAAGTGGATCTTTATGGTCACTCAAGATCTTCAATACTACAAACTCTTGTGTAAAGAGACACAGCATCACAAATTCATATATAGTGGAGTAATACTAACATTTAGCACTTACCAGTTAAAATCAATCCTTTACTATCTCTCCAAAATAAAATAGAATAAAATAGAATATAACAAATTCATTTTCTATGCTCTTGGATAAATACATTTTCAAAGAGATTCAATTCCACAGATTCCTCTTGAACCAGCACTTATAAAAATACAATCAAATCTCTAAGATTTTCTTTTATAGCTGAAAGATTTAATAACTTACTTCAGGTATTTCTTTTAATATTAGCAATAATGAGAAATTTTAAAAAAATATATCATTAGAAGCCTTTTTCCATATTTATAAAATAAAAAATAATGAGCTTACTACATTGTATTGTATTCTTGCCAACGTATTTTCTGTAAGTCTCCAATGTCCATAAATGCTATACATTAATAAATATTGAGTTTTTATCACTTCTAATAATAATTTGATGATGCAGTTCTTACTGGAAAATATTTTAACTCGCTATAAAGAAGTGTTTGGATAATTTACTTTCACATACCTTAATTAAAACTCTCCAATATTCTATTATGCCCGAAAATAAAATGTACAAATCACTAATTGTGCGATAGAAATTCCCATTAAATAAAATATTTATGAAATTGGATAAATCATTCATAATTTTTCGTTTGGAACTCATCTACTCAATAATTAATTAATCGCATTTATTGATAAAAAAAATGTTCTGCATAAATTCTACATATGATCATTTATAACAATTTCATTTGTTATTGTTTTTAACAACTCAATTCAAAACATCATTAGTAGTAAATAAACTTACTAACCACGCCATTCACACGTTTTCCTTATCACAAATACTATGCAGAAATCTAATAAAATTTGAAAATAGAGAAAAAAAAATAAAAAAAGAAAACCGCAAAAAAACAAAATATATAAACAAATATAATAACAATAAAATAGAAACTTTAAAGAAATAAAAATATTACGAAAAAAAAGTAAGACTGCACATTATGACTGCGCACTTGATCGGGAAGTGCGCTCAATACTTTAGCGGCATTAGTGGAGACTAAAACAGTTTCTTTTTTTACCACTAAGTATCTAATCAATTATATATCAGACCTCATGCATGCTCCAAATATTAAGAAACTTAAGCACCTACTCTATTAATTATTTTGTGTTGTTACCCAATTTGTTAAGCTAGTCCAAAAATAAAATTTTACCGAAGTCAGACGATTTTTGTAGAGTTTGTCTGAGAGACTTTTTTATTTTATAACCGAGTAGATATTAATTGTGGCTAATATGTAAACAAAAAGTAAATACTATGGAATTTAATCAGACATACTGATATATATATAATTATATATACATACATTTATATATATAAATTGTTTATCGTTTATTGTAGAATAGGTTTTGAGTACGTTGCTTTTATTTACTCAGAAGAAAACGTTATTCTTTTACAATAAATGAAAAAAAATATTACTTTTTGCAATGTCAGCGACTGGTAAAATTCTATAAAAAAATAATTATCAGCATTTATAATACGCAGAATTTAAAAATTTGATTTAATTTTACAAAAAAAGTAATGTCGTTGACAGTAATTAAATTTGTTTAACTATAATGTAAAGAAATTAATAATTTACTTCAAAATTGTTGTACAATTACATAAACTAACAAAAAGTGTAGAGTTGACAGGATGTTATGGGAAAGATAGCTTTAATTTTAAAAATGGTAAAAATAATTTTATTTTACTTAAATAAAAAACTGAGTTAAATAAATAAGATATGGTTTAGTGCCATTCAAAATTGGAGACTTTTCTTTGAATTGGTTTAGAATGTAGAGTGCAGCAGCAGACTACTCTCCAAAGCAAGATTAAGCTATAGTCGTTGGTTACTTTTACTGAAATCTTATTACTTTGAATACAGTAGTCAGAGACTTTTGTGCTGCTGTGGGTAGTGGTCCTGTTATTGATTTACCTAACTATCTTAGTGACATACATAGGTACTACAGCCAGAGACGGTCGATTAAACGTACTGCGGGTTATAATACCTTCAATCATTGAAGTTTATTAGAACATTTTGTAAAATGACACATTTTATTGCCAGGTTTAAATTGTAATAGTGTAAACATATTAAGCCTCTGGTGCTTAAAGATTTTAAGTGTTACCTTACATATCTTTTGATTATAGGTTTATTAGTATTAGATAACAAATATGCAAATAGTTTAAATTTACTTAAATATATCTGTCCTTCAATTAAACAATTCCCACATTAATCGGGCATTATCATTTTGCGCATTCCATGTTTAAAATAAATGTCTACAAATCCAAGACATTATTAGTTTATGAAATAATTTGGCTAATTGCATGAAAATGATATGCCAAAATAAAATTTTCATATAAAAAAAAATTCAAAATTCTTAGAATATAATTTCATAGTCATAAACTTTTTTAAGTGCTATTATAAAAAGAATATTAATAAAATTTTTAAATTTTTGTGTAGAAATTTTGTAGTAGTTGTTGTTCTAAGATATATTAATTAAAGGGAATTCCTAGAAATGATGAAATCGTAAATAACTGTACGCATATTATGCGTTATTGTTTTTAACTTGTCTTCATTTGCCGGAAATATATTGATAAAATATTCTACACTAATACAAGAAACTCGGTAGTTCTTAGATATGAACAGTTGATATAATTTTGATAGGTACTCATACTACAAAATATACGGAGAAGTTCAGGGTTGCTTACCAGCATAAAGTAATATCAAGATTAAGTTACTGTTGCTAAACATATACCTATATATATGTTGAAATATTGACATTAGTATCATATCTCATATATGAGAGTATATGTATCTGATATGTCGAGCTTGTCGAAGTGCCATTTTAAAGTAAATCTATGAAGTCTCCAAAGAAATCTTATAATATTGGAAATTGCGTTGTTATTTTTTTTTATTTTTCACAATTATAATTAACATTTTTTTTGAATAGATATTAGTTTTATTTCTTACACCTCAAGTATTTGTTGTTTTATTTTTTTTTTTTTTGTTTTGTTTGTAATACCTTTGTAAGCAAAACAAACAGTAGTAAGTATATAGTAAAATTATAGTCAATAGTAAACAAATAAAAATAAAACAAATGTCTAGCAAGATAAAAATTTCCACACGGTTCTTGCTGTGTATAATTGCAAATAAATAATCGATATTTATTTTTTTTTTGTATTGATAATTAAAAATAAAAATCAAAAGAAGTAGGTTACTTTAATTTTTTTTTTAACGTAGTATCACTGGATCTTGTTATTGGGCCGTCAATTAAAATATTTTGCATTAATTGTCAAAACGTTAAACTATTATTTTTTTTTTTGCGCAAGATAACTTTGTGATGGAAGTTTAGTTGTATATATGCCAAATGGAGAGTTAGTACATAACAATATTATTATCTGCAATATTTTTTATATTAATCAGAATTTATACATTATTTTATATTTTATTTTTATAAACATTATTTTAAAAATAAATGTTTAATTAAATTATAAACATTTATTAATTTTATATGTATATTTTTTTTTGTAGAGTTCTTCACAATGGACAGTGTAGGAGATTTTCTAAGCGACTACAAAATTACATTGTACTCAAAAGAGGTACGGCGTTATTTATGCTTCAAAAACGGCAGACTTGTTGGATTGGTAAGTTAACTTTTAATAACTCATTTCTATATTATTATATATAATAATTTTTTCAAAAACAAAAAACGAAACTGGGAACTTGAGGGTTAAATCTAAATAAGAATTAAGAATGTTTTAAATATCTTGAATATAAGAGGAATAATTATTATAAAAAAGTTTGTTGGTGAAATAAGTAATCTTATGTTACTTAAACTTAAAAAAAATAGATCAAAAAATTATCCACAAATTTGAATTTTAAATTATAAATGTAAATGTTAATATTAATTGCAATTTACAATTAATTAGTTTATAGATCATAAAAATTCTTCCTTGTTATTTATTCTCTCCAGTAATTTATGGTATGGAATTTATAGATCACTTAATAAGTGACTTTCAGTCAGTATAATAGATTTGACCCAGGATAGTTAATAGAAAATGGTCAATAAAACTAAAATATATTTTTACGCAGTAAAACAATTTTACTTAATTAACAATATTTCTACACTGTAAAACTAATTCTTCAACAGAGAACTTTTAAAGGAGGTAACTTACAAACTGCCCTTCCTACAATTCTGTAAACTTTAACATTAAGAAAGAGTTCGTATTTTTTGTGCTAAACCCATGGAGATAATATTGTTCTTTCTTACTGCCTAAAAATGTGTTTTCTCTTATACAGATTCAATGATCTATACTCGTATATAATATAAGTAATAATAAAACCTATGTTCTTAAGTTCGAATATTTTAGAGATAAACTGTGAAAATAATAGATCAGATACTCATTTTTACTAAAGTAGAATAAATTTAGTAGATTTTGTAAAAAATACTTCTCAATCAATTCTTCAATAAATTGTATTTAAATTCTATTTCTCCATCCTATTGCTTTTGCTTAAAACTTTATATGTAGATTATTAAAAAAGTTTAATATTTTCTATTTATATTTTTACAGAAAAATGCAACAAACGATTGTCATTTCAAGGAATCGCTCGATCACGGCTACTTCACATATGCAAATGCTTACAACTCCACGCTACGTGTCGGTTTCACAAAAAATTTTAAACCCATTGGTCCACGACACTTGCTTCGGCCACAAAGTCTACGAAGAGCCTGTTTCCTATTTGCGAAAATCGAAGCTGAGTACTTCGATCGCAATTTCTTTACAACCACGACTACAACAACAACTACTACCACAACAACACAGTCTCCCCTATTGAATAACCGAAGATTACACGAAGATAAAACGAGTATTAATAGGCAAAAACAAAATAATAGCAACAACAACAAAAATGGAGATATTCTCACCAATGTTTTCGATGCAGAAACACGTAAGCAAAATCGCATAAAGAAACTGAATGGTGAGAATGGCAACAACCATGAGCAACAGCATGCTTTAGAAGGCGTACAATACGTGACACATATACAACGTCAAAATCAACGAAAAAGGAAACATCCAATAAAGTCTTCAGCAATGCCGCCACAACCAAAAAATCTAGTACGCCATCACCACAACAATAGTACATTGCTTGAAAAACGTCGTCAGCACGACCGTGAACAGAAACAACGTAAATTGCGTAAGGATATTCAGCGACAAAATAAATATCAACAGCAAAACAACACAATACCAGTTGCAACATCATCAGCGTCATCTAGCGCAACAACATCTGCCACAGCAACTGCAACAGCAACTGCACTTACAGCAACAGCCTCGCTAGCACCGTCAGCGCTGAATATTGTCGCAATGCTAGCAGCAAGTCGTCGCAAGCGTGGCAGACGGAAAAAGGATAATGTGACTGGTAGCAGTGGTAGTAGCACTACTGAACGCCAACAGATGGATATGCAAATTGTTGCACAAACTACCACAACTACAACTATCAAACCAATCACTGAACATGAGCGCTACTACGATGACATCGAAGCCGTAGATCAACGTTTGCGGCATCATCACTACGAACATCAGTTGCAACAGTTAAAGTACCATGAACATTTGCGGCAACTTAAAGAAGAACAACAACATCAATATCAGCAGCAACATGAACACAATTATCATCAGCAAATATTGCCACCAGTGAGCGACAGTCTTAGCAATAGTAATGTTAGATTAAATGCTGACTATCAGCTGCAGCAACCAGATGTGTCGCAGCAACAGCAGCAGCAACAGCAGCTACAAAACGAATACTCAAATAGTAATGTTAATAGTAATTTAAATAGTAATTATGTTAAAGCAATACCTGCCTTGCCAAAAAACTTCTTGTATAGTAATAATTATAATAATAATAATGAAAACGCTAATATTAATGTTGATAATCATAATGATTATGACAGTAATAAGAATAATTATAATGATAATAAGTATGATAGTAATTCTAATAGTAGATCGACTGATTATAGTAGTAATCCTAAGTATAGTCAACAAAGTAGCCATAGTAGTTCTAATAAACACAATAATAATCAATATAATAATTATAATAATAATTTAAAAGTGTTAGGCGAAGACGATGCAACTGCAACTGCAACTGCAACTGCAACTGCAACTGCCGACAGTAGTGTCAGCAGCACCGACAGTACAGGCAGTAGTGAAACGATAACAAATACGAATACGAATACAAATATTAATAGTAATTATAATGAAGATAATGATGACAATAATTTTATGCTTAATTATCATCATATGCCGCTTATAAATATTTATCGAAATCGAATTAATATTAATAATGATTATGAAAATAATAATCATGATGTTAATAGTAATAGTAATAATAATAATAATCATAATGGTAAAAGTAATAATCCAGTTGATTATGTTAACGATAATCCAGTTGAAAGTTTACAAAGCAACATTAAAAATAATGATAATATCAATGATCATAATGATCATTTTTTTGATGTTAATAATCATCATCATGTTATTAATAATAAAAATGATGATGATAGTAATAGTAATAGTTATGTTAATCAAGCGTTTAATTTAAAAAACTTAAATGTTAATTATGATAATAACAATAATGATTATGTTAATATTAATCTTAACGAAAATGATAATGAAAATGAAAATAATAATAATAATGATGATCATTTGTTTGCTTATCGTAAGCGTTTTTTTCGTAGCTTAAATGATGATGAGCATTTAAAAAATGAAATGAATGGAATTCATAATAATAAATATGAAAAAAGTATAGTACAATACAGATATGTAGTTTAATTTATTTTGTTGTTATTTGATGGGCGTGGTCATGGGCTGAGATATGACTAAATATTTATAAAGTGAAAATGGATTCAAACGTTGCAGTATATCAAAAACAGAACCAAAGTATCAGCCGTCGATCTTGTTAAAGTAGTCCAAAGTGAAAAGGATACTTTTTAAAACGACGGCGAAATATATATATATGTACGTATCAGAGGTGGTTCAAATGGAGTCAAACGGGATAATATTTCTTGTGTAAATAGAAAATAAGAACTTGGGAGTTCTTTGAAAATCCGTTTAATTTCTGTTAATCGATTTACAAATTTGTTTAAATTCAGAGAAAAGGTTCCAACAAATTATTTTGGCAATATGCCTTATTAGCCTGATTTCGAAACTTCTATATGTAGTCTTGGATTTCTAAACAAAATAAAACTTAATCTGATTTTTGTATTAAAAATTGCAGAAATAAATCTGAAAGTGAGGAATAAACCAAGGCAGTTCAATTCATTTATGTTCAGTTATGCAGAATTGTTCTTATAGCTTCAGTGGTACATAGGCATACTCTGACATTATTCGAAATCACAGTTCCAATAAAGTGTTTTCTGAAAAAAAGTGAAACTAAAATCATACATACTTTAGGTTTATACGCTCAACTTTGAATCAAAAAAGAATGGAATAGTTGAACAACAATAGGTTTTCTTTCTTCTATTGCAATGGTTTTTAAGACTTGATTTGACGTAATATTGCGCATTTGTAGAATATGTATATTGTACCAATCCTGAAAAATTAGATTATATGTTTATAATATTAAATTATTAGTATATTATATACAAAAAAAATTATATAAATTCAAAAAAAAAAAAAAACCATTAAATAAAATTTATATATCGGGCTTTATAGCCTTGAAGATGGAATACAAAAATGGTACTTGATCCGATTCTTATTATATTTTTCGTAGGTTGATAGTTAAAGGTTTCATTTTCCTTAGCGAAATGACTTAAAGCCCCATTCTTGGGGACGTATTTTTAGTTTGGGGAAGAAACAAATAAGCCATGTTTATATTCTTAGAGTGTAATATTTTGAAATTTAAAAATAATGGTTTTGTACCATCATAGTGCTTTTGAATATCAAAATAGGTTATAGGTCACAGTTAAACATCGTACAGTACTACTAATTTACAAAAAAACATAATAATAATCACAATGGTAATAGTAATAATCCAGTTGACGATATAATGGCGATAAGCCATTATAAGCCCACGTTAAGGCAGTAAGTTCACGTTCGTTGAGTGTTTTGCCAAAAAATTTTACAACACTTACTTAGTGCCAGCACAGAACACTCTCACGTATAATTACAAAAACACGGTATATGACAGATACCAGTTAAAAACGATGCAGTGCTACTAATTTACAGAACAAAATGTGGCGGTATCTTTTACATATATTTTTTAAGTAATAAATTCTGGATACTTTTTAAACAGAATGTATGCAAAGAAATGTACTTAATCCTTATATTCTTTGCACAAAAATCATTGTATCAACACAGTTTTAAAATGTTTAACAATTTTTAGTAGGAAATGCTTTGTTTGATTGTCTCTCTTAAAGTCTACAAATATTTTTTTTGTCTACCCCGGACTAAGCTTGTTTATAATTTCCTAATTCCCCAAATATTTCATGTTCATCCATTTGATCATTAATCATAAGCTAATTAAATAACCAAAATATGATCATCAATTTGTCAAAGTGTCCACAACAATCAACGCCATTTAATTAACCATCTTTGATAGAAATATTCTGAATAAAGCATTGAACTTTGTTTACTTAACAAGAATGGAAGAAGCACCGGCCTAGACCCTACGGGCACTGTTTGAATAGACAGAAATATTTGACATGCTTGAATTGAAATGAAATTTCGTATCTTGTTAGCGGTAAGACGAAGAAATTTCTTTTATTAGAAATGCAGCTCATTAAAAAACTATAAATTCTAGAAATTATAAATGAACAAGTTTACATTAGAGTGGACAAAAATTACATGGAACCCCCCGTTGAAATTCTTTTTGAAAGTAGCGCGCTCTCAAAAGCACGAAAAGAAGGTTTCCGACATCTGGAAGCAAACAAAGGAAAATGAAGAAGAACTTCATGTAACTAGAAAAAGAACCGTTGTAAGCTTTAGAAATATGTAAGAACGGCAAATCAATAAAAAACGAACTGGTATTATATACAGGGTGTTCACATGAAGTTTGAAGAACTTTTAAATAATTATTCTTTAGTTTATTCTCATTTCACTGTGATGATAATGAATCTTTAAGGTATATAAGAGAACATTATTTATATAGATTTCTATACATTTAATTTGAAGTTGACATTGTGTATAACTCTGTATTAAAAAATATCAAGTGGATTGTATTTCTTTAAATATTAGAAGAAGAAAAATTGTTAACATGTTGAGAAAAAATCGACGATTGCTTGTAGCAGCAACTGCGGCTGAAGTAGCTGCGGGTCCAGTGGAAAAGGTGAGAATTTATGTAAATTTCTGTTATTATTAGTGACTTTGGTAGTCAGTGTTTGTTGTTGTTCTACTTGTAAAGCTCATGTTCGACGACCTGTCTAACCACCTGCGTGGATGGGTAATTTGTCAAATTGTTTAGATACAATATTTGTAATATTGACATTTTTCCACATTTTTAAGTTGTTTATTTATTTTTCAATATTAAGTACAGCTTTGCTTTTATTTCATGAAATCTTTTTTTATTAAAACTTCTTAGAATTAATTTTAGGTTATATCACTTAAAAGAAGATTCCTTAATGCACAAGTGTCATATACCTTGAATTTATTTATTTATTTTTTTTTTATATGAGAAGCTATGATAAAATATTAAACAATATTGCAGTTCCTAACTTATTTTTTACTATTTAAACAGTCTTTAATACTTGATGGTGTTAATGAAATATTATATTCGGAAAGTAACTAACTTCTAGAGAATATTCAATAATTGATTCCGAAGACCTCATAATATTTTTTAGAGAAATAAATTGGTTAAAGTATTGTAAATAACTCTTGAATCAAGTTACATACATTGTGACCGAAAAGTTTCCGGAAATTTTAAATAAAACGCAAAATTCTTAATCTTCATCAATATTTATTTTATCTCCTTCAAAATATGCTCCATTAGAAGCGATACACAAATGCCAACGTTTCTTCCAATCATCAAAACATTTTTTATAGGCGCTTTCCGGTATGGCTTTGAGTTTCCTCTGCGAATTCTGTTTTACGTCTTCTATGGATTCAAAACGCGTTCCTCTGAGTGGTAATTTGAGTTTGGGAAACAGGAAAAAGTCACACGGTGCAAGATCAGGTGAATACGGGGGCTGTTCGATGGTATTTATTGAATGTTTGGCCTTAAAATCGTTGATAATGTTGGCTCGGTGCGAGGGAGCATTATCGTCATGAAAAATCCATGAATTATCCTTCCACAATTGAGGCCGTTTACGGCGGATATTTTCACGCAAACGTCTTAAAACAGTCAAATAATAGGCTTTATTGACTGTTTGTCCTTCAGGGACGAATTCATGATGCACCACACCACGAATATCGAAGAAAACAATCAGCATTGCCTTGATTTTCGAGCGACTTTGGCGTGGTTTTTTCGGTTTCGGCTCGTCTTTTCCTCTCCATTCCGATGATTGTTGGCTTGTTTGCATGTCGTACTCGTAGACCCATGTCTCGTCACCCGTTATGATGCGTTCCATGAAAGTTGGATCGGAATTGGCACGATCAAGCATGTCTAACGAGACCTGTCCACGATGGTGTTTTTGGAACAAATTGAGGTGAATCGGAAAAAGCCGAGCGTTGACACGTCGCATACACAAATTGTCCACCAAAATCAAACGAGCCATCTCACGACCGATGCCTAGCTCTCGTGCTATCTCTCTAACACTCACATGAGGATTTTTGAACACGATTTCCTTTGCCTTTTCAATGTTTTCGTCGGTGGTAGAGGTCGAAGGTCGTCCAGAACGCGGCATGTCTTCGACGGTCGTACGACAGTCCTGAAAGGCTTTGTACCACTCATAAACTTGAGTTTTCGATAAAACTGATTCCCCATAAGCCTTTTGTAGCATTCGCAACGATTCTGCACACGAAAATTCGTTCGAAACACAAAATTTGATGCAAACTCTTTGATCAATATTTTTTTCCATTGTTTTTTCGCACGCACTTACTGAGGTGAACTGTTTTCAAGCTGCGTAAACGAACTGCTGACAGATCCGCTCATTTTGATAGTATTAGGCAGTGCTGCCCAACTACATAAACTTAAAATATCGAAAAATATACAGCGCGCGAATTTTAAATGAGAATTTCCGAAAACTTTTCGGTCACAATGTATATCAATAACCTCTAACTATGTGGAACACTAACTAGGATGAGTCACATTTAAATCCGTGAAGTAACTTAACAATCCTGGATAGTATAATGTATAACTAGTTCATTCACAGGCAATCTCAAAGTAAGTTGGGTTAGATATATATGCATTCGTAATGATCCGAAGTAATGATAAGTAAAAACATATAAGAAAAATAATAAGAATAAAAAAACTTACTAGTTATTAATTTATTTGTTATCTTCCAAACTACTGAGTGTTAATTTGCTGAATGATATCAATGCTGTCATAAAAGTTGTAGAACTTGTACATTATTAGAATGTGCTAATCGTCGTCAAATCGTAAAAGATCACAGATTTTACGAAGAACTTTTCTCTCGACAATTCACAGTGCTGCTTCATCATTCTGTGATAGCTCGCAACATGATTCTTCAATAACGTTATATTCCTCAGGTTTTAATAACAATATTATAAGATGGTGATGTACCAAGAAGTATTTCTTCAAATATTTGAAATCTACATAACTGTATCAGATAAAATATAATTTGAATCTATGATATTAAGTAGTATACCTATGATACACTAAGTGTATTGTACCTGTGATATACTAATTACGTAGTTAAGGTTTATTTCAAAGTCTAAAATTTACAAGAGACTTGTTACTTAGCTTAATGTTAGTTTTGTGTTTCTTAAAAAATCAGATATATATGGTAGATAAAATGTTATTTTTTTAGCAATTTTGGCGCCAATGCGAATTGCACACTTTGAAATCATTAAAAACTAACATTTTATGTGTTAATTTTCACAAATAATTCTCAGATGCACATAACCTCAAATAACACCTTTTAAACAACAATCTGGTTTTTTAATATTTTTGATGTTAGACTCCTTCAAACAAGGGATGGGCGTTCTTTGTTTCTCACTGATTTACAACAGTACAAACAATGAGATTTCACGGCTAACATAATGGGTTTGTGTTTGGGTTTGAAGAAAGAAGATTTCATAATGAAAAGAAACGAAAGCAGCGAGTACTTAAATTTTTTTTGAGAATGCGGAAGGTCAGTGTATGGCTAATGATCTTGAAAACGTTTGCAGACATTAAAAATCCACGTTCCTATTCACACCTGCACCACTCGTAAATGCGGCAGTAGAGAACATTACCAATAACAAACACCCGCACATTTCTAGCCATTAACCGAGCATTCCATCATTTTTAATGGTTCGGTTTATAACCGAATATATATACAAAAAAATTAAATAAATCAGAAAATATCACAAATGTTGTACATGAAAATCAAAGAAAAGAACAATTTTATTCTTTTTATTTGTGTTTGTTGGTTCTCTGGCCATCAAACATTTTGGTGATAGGGAAATATTTGACAAATTGCTCTGACACCTCGGGAATGCAATAAAACGAAACCAAATAGATTAAAATAATTTGTTTTTGAGCAATAAAATTAATTAAGTGTTTCATTTAAAGTTAATAAAATGGCAAATGTACACGATGAATCATAATGAATATGGAAATTGAAGAGAAGATAAATGATGCATGCCATCAGCATTTTTAATGGAACTGCATTATACTGCATTATATTAATTTTTTAAAAATGATATAGAATATATGTATATAATTATAATTAATTGAGTATTTATGAGTTATTATACAATTTCAAAGCAATTGAAAAATTTTTTAAAAAAATATTAAAAAGAGGGAGAATGAAATAATATTTATAATCAGCCTTTTTTTATTTTTGTGGTTTTATAATGTCATAAAATAATTAGTAGTGCTACAGATATAGCCAAAGACAATATATATTTATTTTCGTTTCCATTTGTGTATTTCGATCATTTAGAAATACGGCAACACCCACAGAAATTGGCTAATTTTAGCAAAAGCCATAAATTTTTAGGCGCCGTTGTGAATTTATTTTTCTGTGAACAAAATCAACTTTTTGTCAATTCTTAAAATTTATTACAACTATAATTTTTCATAGAATTATTATATTAGATAATCCATTAAATTAATTTCTGCTGAACCATAAAATTGTTTTTTAGAACTTTTTCGATAAGCTCGAACATAATTTATAAAAAATTTAGAATAGTAAATTAAATCAAAATAAATCCGTTGATAAATTTGTTAGGGCTTCACACTTTATAATAGAGGAGTACATTTATTAATTGCCGTATAGTTTATTATTATAACGTATATATATATATGGCTCACTATCTGGTCTTCGTTTATATAAGCATAGATACACTTACATAGGTTTTAGCTATATTAACGCTACGTTTAAAAATGTTAAAAATGTTTTATGAGACGCAACCAATAAACAATTTTACTATAATATTTACAATGTTGTTTCTTACACTTTGTGGCTACTTTTTTTAAGCCTTTGGATTCGTTTTTATAATATATCAATAAAAATGTTAGAAAGAAAAAATGTTTTTAGCATTTCGAGAATATTAAAAGAAACCATATTTAATATTTAGAAAATCCGATTTAGCATTTAGAGAAAGAACATTCAACAGCTCAAAAGAAATGGCTATGCAAGTCCTTGAATAAATGTTCACGTAAAATATTAAAAATGTGGCAACCCAACCGCATTACAAACTCCAACCTAAGGGCCGTTACGAATCAATTATCTGCTACTGTTGGGATAAGATGATGCAAATAGCACTGTATATAAGGTTTGAGCTGGAATCCTCAAGGCAGCCACTTGGGCAGTCCACCCGAAGCGTCGGCTAAAACTTGGAAGAGGACAATTGAAGAAAAGCTAAGAGAAGTCAATTATTCCTGGCATGATATCTGCCGAGAATCAAATAACAAAATCTGATATAAAAGGATAGTAGATGCCCTATGCTCCAATGGGAGATGAGGATAGGAGAGAAGTCCTTGGAATGCAACTTTAAAAACCTAGCAGCATGGTTAAAGCCAGTAGGATTATTCATAGTTTGGTTGTTAGAAAGGTTTCTCAATCATAGAGCACTGGCTCCATTATTTACTGTTAGTTCTCGACCTAACTGTACATAGGCAATATACCAGTGTGAGTTGACAATACTTTTGACAACTCTTAATTTGAAATGTTGTAATATATATTTCCATATATAAGATTGCAGTAATTCGACAAATTTTCATATCGAAAGTCCAGCTTGGTTTCAAGATCGTGTTATAAATAACTATTTTATTTTCGATGGAAAGTTTTGATTGCGGTAAAGCAACTTGAATTATTATTATTACAAAAGTAGTGCTGACCAGAAGAGGTATTGCGACTCATATAGACCCGTGGCCTGGTTTGATATTGTTGGTGGGGTTAACTATCATCTTAAGAAAACTGTCTGATTTTCGTTTAAATTGTTTATAGTTTTGAAAGGTAGACTGTATACATTCGTGTTAATAGCTTAAAACAGAAATCTTCCAAAAATTAAATCCGAACGGCTAAAGAGCTGTAATTAATTAAAAGAGTTTTTGAAAAATTTCATTCGAGCTGGGATTTGAACTCAAAGAATTTATGTTTTTTCATCTTAACTTACTTAAGCCATTTAATAGATACTTATTGGCACAAGGTTAGAGATCTACAGAGGAAGTTTGAATGAAATACTAATCCGGTAATCCTAATCACAAATAGGAGGCGTTAATATAAGACTAGGCTTTAACAAGGTTTAGTCGTCAAGGTATGTATATACCGGTTTTTTTGGGGAATCCATTATATTATGTTTTGTTCAATTTAATAAATTTTTTAAGGATATTTTTATAAGGATTTGATATGGATGTTATATGGATTTTGTATGAATTTTGTATGTATTTTGTATGAATTTTGTATGGATTTTGTAAGAATTTTGTATGGAAAATAGCACATATTAGTGCATATTTGTCGATTTAAACACAAAAGTCTAAACATAACATTAGTTTATTTATGCTCTTACATATAGTTTTTGTGATTTTCTATTTTAGCTTCATTGCGTTACAAACATCTAGACGAAGTTAACATAACTTTAATTGATAGCAAGGGTGTGAAGGGTGTAAACAGTTCAGTACGTCCTCGTATGCCCATGGTATAGTTACGTTCTACTGTTCTTTTTACACAAAATTAATGGATTTGCCATTGGCTGTACAAATATTTGACAAATGTAATCTGTTCGCTGTCAATGAAAGAACATAACTGCTTAGTAGACAAATCGTGGGATTATAAACAGTATTGGGTGGTGAGTAATGAATTAAGTTTTGCGTACTACTGCTATAAATAATTTCTTACCGTATAAATAACTGACTGCACAGTTAATCCTCAAATGTTTTTAAATAGATTTTCTATAAATAAATTTTCGTAGCACAAAAAATTGGATTCGATGATTGTCTAGAGACCTTCGCCTTAAGCCTGAAACAATTGAAATGAGCTTTGTGTCGAGAACATTTTATGCAGTATTTTTACGGTTTTTGTGAATTGAAGCTAAGCTTAAGCTGTCCATAATAGAAAGATCTCGACTGGCTTCTATAATGGCCTTATTTAACTACCAGTATTGATAAAAATAAATCATTAAATATTAATAGAACTATCATAGACGCATATTTTTTTCACTGTTTCCAATGTTTTTTTTTCACGAGAAATGCTGAGAGAGTCTGATTAAATGCAAAGTAGTTTTGATTTATTGCCTGCTTAAAATTAATGATACCAAAACCAGGAATGGTTTTTGTAATTCGTATAAAATATTTTTTCTTACAATTTTTATAAGAAAAAAATTTTAGTTAATTTTTTTTGTTTATTGGAAATATGCAAATGCCATAAGAAAAATGACACTTGTCAGAAATTAAATAAGTTTACATTTATAACGTCGATTTTAGGCGACATTTGCTTTTGGGTTTTTAACAATTTTAACAATTTTGTTAACAAAATTAAGAAGAAAAAAATATTTATAAAACCAAAAAAGGTGTCAAACGGCTGCCAAAAATGCTAATTAAGTCTTAACACTTTTTGTTAATATTTAGTTAAAAAATATATTTAAATACAAATAATATAAATAAATTAGTATAAAGTTGAGTTTTGAGTTTTCAAATTCGAAAACCGCAATTTGGCGCCGAAGCGTAGCGCAACAAGTGTTAATGCTTTTTACTTTAAAAGTAAAATCGAGATGTATCGAGTATAAAAAAAGTTATATATCTTTTCGGTTATAAAGCGCATTAATAAAATTGATAAAAAGAGATAAATTTGGTAAAAAAAACATTAATTTTACTTTTGATATTTTGTGATAAAAATTTGCATAACAAAAGGCAATACTTTTGGCGCCCAATGCTGACATTTTGCAACGCCACTAAATACCCTACACAAATTTCGCTTGGTCATTAAATTTCTTTCACATATATAACGGGTATATAGACCAGTCAAAAGATACTGGAAAGCACTGGAAAAAAATGTAACCATCTTTGTAGCGATAATATACGCGATAGATAGATGCGTCAGTTTCAACTTTGAACATTACTACCGGAAATTGTAATACTGACTGACAGCCAGTCATTATAGCAGTCATCTTATTTTTCTTTAAAAGTTATTTAACGGTCACATAATGAAATTAGAAATTCAATCCAACTCAGACTGTAGCTACTGTACAGAAGACAGTGAAAATGCATACCATGTGCTTGGGGAGTGTCCGGCACTGATGCACAAGCGGAACAAACAACTAGGAGGGTATTTCATAGATCATAAGGGCTCAAGACTAGGGAAGATAGGCTCTATACTGTCTTTCATTAAAGAAATCGGACTTGGAGTAACACTCTAATCCAACTAAGGGGCACAATATATCTTTTAGATCACAGTGCACTACCCCTTTTCAAATAATATTAATAACAGGTGTAATGTATATACCTCCTTTGCAATCAAATAATAATTAAAAACGTATTTCACTAGGGATTTATAATTATTTATGATGAGTAAAAAAAGTGAGAAAAATTGATTAAAATAATCAATGAAGTTCTGTTTAATATCTATTATTATTATATCATGAAATTCATGTCATCGAAAAAATTTACAATATCAAATTGGGAATATGGTTACAATTGCTTCTAGTTTTAGAAGCAGCCAAATACTCGCCTTTAACAATATGACTGGGAGATTATAATATATATAGCAATTTGGATTGTTCAAGTAGATCCATAGACCTAATTATAATATATGTTTGTGTGTACTTGAGATTCACTTAAGGTTAATAAAACTTTTTTAAAACTATGTTGTAAAGACATGTGCTTCAAGTCTATTGGTATATAACCGGTAGTACTAATAGTAGTGTGAAATCAATAGATATGATTTCAATTAATTTATCTTTACGCTGCAATTTACAAACTGCTGTATTTATCTCAATTATTATTCTCTTTTAGGGAATAAACAAATACTGCCAATAAAGTTTTAGCAAAATGGCAAATAGAAAGACAGAATCGTGTGTGTTATTATATAACAGATTTTATTATTAATAAATATTAAAAAATTTAATTTTTATAATAAAATACAATTAATATTTTATTAATTTTTAAATATTATTTGAAATGTTTCTTGGCACATTGGAATTTCCGCAACGAAATGAAAGAAGATAAAAGATTCAGATAAAAAATGCTTGTTTTGAGAAGTTATTATGTAAAATAGTATCGGATTAGCATTTGAATGGATTTTAGAAAGATTCATGCATAATTTTTAGGAGTGAAAATTGAATTTTGTTTGAAGATTAAAATTTGACTAAAAATTAGCAGGAATTATTTATTTAAAAAGTAAGTCAAACTAAATAATTTCTGCGAAAAACGTCAGACAATTTTTTTTAATATAATATCGTCTTAAGTATATTAGATTTTACATCTGTTCTATTGCCAGGCAAATATCGAAGGTAACAGATGCTCTATTAAAAGATGATTAAGCATTAAATTCATTGCTAAATAAATTCTTTTTTTTTTTTGTTGAAATTGTATTGTAATTTAAATAAGTTTTAAGGAATTGGCAGTTACTTGCTAATGCTAAGTAGTTATTACTTACAATAGTGACTCATACATATATTGGACATTGATATTAGTAAACTCTGTTTAAGTTTATTTCCAAAATGTGATTATATCATATTAGATTTTTTTTTGTATAAATACTAATAGAGGCATTTCGAGACATCGATATTTTAGAAACTCTGTTCCTATCTTCCTACTACGAAGAAAGCTATTAAACAATTCTATCAATTTATTCTCTTGCTGTCACAACATTACCCAGTAATACGAAAATTTAAGTAAAAGTCATAAAGTTGAAAATTTTAATGCTCATAAATTATGTGATTTTATTACTTGCACCGCTTACAATTAAAGCTTTTTGGGAAGTTTTTAACTGAAATAAATGCCGTTTGAAATACAGGGTTATACGACATCAACTTTCATGCGTGACAAAATGAATTAAGCAAGAAAAATGGACTTGAAGATAAAGAAACAGAAAAAAGAACATTGAATAACATAACCTTAGATAATGAGAAAAACAAAGGATCAAGAAAATAAGAAAATCTTAAAGTTCAAACAGAAGACAATATGATAATACGAAGAAAGAAAAAAGAAGGAAGAGAATAATATAAAAACTGTTGATATGATGAAATTTGATGGTATGTTAATGTAAATGAAGAATTGAAAGCAAGGGAAGATTCAGTAGATGATGAGATGATCGTTAATAGAAAGATAAAGCTTAAGATGAAAAGAGATAAAAAGAGGATAAAACAAAAAAAAATAAAAAACAGAATTGAGTAAACGTTATCAATAACGTTGATGGGTGAAAAAAAAGATACGACAGATAATAATAAGACAGATAATAATAATAATAGTAAGATAAAATTTACATGTTTCAAAAAGGGACATTAACTAAAAATTTGTGAAAGGAATATAGAAGCAAGGTAACATAAAAGGAGAAAAAGCTAAAAAAGAAGTGAAGTACTAATATACATATTAGAAAAAACAAAATATGAAATGTAACTATAAATAATAAGATAAAATTGAAGCGCATTAAGAAGAGAAGTGGAATTTTGGAATAAAAATGTAGAAAATGGCATAAAAATAATAAAGAATAAAAGAAGAAATAAGTGAACTTAGTGAGGGATTATTATAAAAATAATGAAGAATAAAAGAAGGATTAAGTTAACTTAGTGGAGGATAAACATAAATATAAGAAGATATAAAGACCACAGAAGAAACAATAGATAATGAGATGAAATTAAAGCGCAGCAAGAAAAAAATTTAAACTTTAAATAAAAAAAACAGAAAAGAAGAATAAAAATAAGGGGTCATATAAGGGATAATATAAGAAGAAAGAGTAAACTTCATGAGATATTAATGTAAAGATTGTGAAAAACAAATAAAGGAAAAGTGAACATATATAATAAAATAACATTAAAGCTTATGAAGTCAATAAAATAATTTTTTTTTATAAAAAGAAAAAAATTATCTATGGCCATAAGTAAAATCTGATGAAGGAAAAATGTAGGTAAAACCTGTTGAAATGGGTGATCTAATTATTAATAATAGTAATATTAAGTACATTAATAATAGAGTTAAGATATATATAAAAAATAAGAATAAAATATGAGAAAATAATTAAAAAATGAGATTAATATAAAGAATAGACTTAGGCACGTGACAAAGAACTCTTTACCACTTTATTATATCTTGCCCTGACTCGGGTTAGCACAGTTCTTGCAATTGTTTAGCATGTTGCAATACCCTATTTTGAATTTTGTTGCTGATATGTTCGACATCATTGATATTGTCTTCATTATGGAAGGCTTCAGTGTATATATAATAGGCAGAATACTTAGTAGAGTGTTCTACTCATTATTTTGATCTCCTACTAATTGTTAACTATAATTTGTATGACACATGAGAAGAAACTATTTTGTCAGTAACTGATTATGTTAACTCATAATCAGAATTTTGAACTATGAACGATAAATATGAATATAGTAGGAATACACAATACTAACTATGTAATTAAATATATAGTTCTACAGTTTGGAAAATTTGGTTAATATTCCAGTCTATTCCACAAAGTAGTGGGGATAGCGCTGAT